GAGGCTTATTTTGATGGAGGAGCTTCCTCACTATTTAAGTTTCTACACAATCATGTATTATTTAGAAGAAACTCATTTTATTAAAAATTAACAATACATATGCCGAAGCATAGCCAAAGCCTGGAAAGGCTACGTTCACCAAAATGTTAACTATGGTTTCCGGGGGATGGTGGGATTATGGGTCATTCTGTTTTCTTCTTCAGGTTTTGCAATGCTTTCTGATTTTTTAAAAATGAATACTAATAGCTATAATTAGGAAAGGACAAAACTATTTCCACCTTGGCGAAAGTGAACACAGCCGCTTCTGACCAGGGACTTCTGAACTCTTTCCTTAAAAAAGGAGAGAAAGTCCTGCACAGGTTACTTTGTTGCTCGTTACTGAACATGATTAGGAGCAAACACAGAGGCTTCATTTCTACCACGCCAACTGCATGAGCTTTCTTTCTGTCCACCATAAAAAGAACATAAATCTTAGAGCAGTCAAAGATTTTAGAAACATTTTCTTAAATCTGCAAAAATAGAACCCAGAAAGTTAAAACAACTTGCTGAAGGTCACACAGGAAAGGGAGCCCAAAGCTCAAATCTCCTTACTCCCTGTCCAATGCTCCCTCCTCACTGCTGAGGGGGAGGCTACACTGACCTTCCAATTCATGTTTATCTCCTAGAAACCCTGAAAATGCTGCTCAGTAAATATCTGATCTTAACTAGTAGAGAATGTCTGCCTTGAGCATAGTGCTCTTTTAAGAACTGTCCATATGGGATCAAACTGACAACAGCAACTCAAAAGATTACATAAGAAAATCAGGGGGCAGTGAGTTTATGTTAATGGCAGAGGAACAATTCCGAAATGGAGGGTGAGAGTGGTTACACAACTCAAAGAATGTAATCAATGTCACTGAACTGCACATTTAGAAACTCCTGAATTGGTGTATGTTTGGCTGTGTATACTCTCAACAACAAAAAAAAATTAAAATGAATTAAAGTAAAAATGCTGCTCAGTAAAATATAATCATCCTATCACCTCAGCTGTCCCATAGACCCCAGGGGCTCATCTTAGCAGTAACTGCCAGTCTGACTACTCTCGCAGCTCTGAGGATGCCAGATTTGATCTCAGGGACATCAAGGGACTGTATTCCAGCGAAATCACCACCAGAAATTATCACTTGCCACTTAAACAGAGCCCTAAAGAGAACCTTACAGCTCACCTGCCCAGGGACCCCAAACCTGTCTGGTCTTCAGAGTCACCTAGGGAGAATTTAAAAATAGATCTTGAGCCTTACTTTCCAAATCTCCAGGGGTGAGAGCAAAGAATCTATAATCTTTAGAGTTCCCCAACAATTCTGATGATCAGCAATATAGCCCAACTCTCTCATTTTGCATATGAGATGACGGCCATTAGGAGGGGCCAAGGGAGGGACTAGGACCCAGGCCCCCAGCTGCCAGTTCAGGACTTCCCCTCTCATAATCTCTCTCTTTTTAAATCTTACAGTGTCAACTCTCAGTTCAGACCCTTTCCCCGTTACTAAAATGAAGTGTTAGAGTCCTGCTTGGCAATCCAGAAGTGGTCCTGTGGGTATTTTACTTAGCCAAAAAGAGTATCTAACTTAAGCTCAGTTCTTTATCAACAGGCACTCTAGGCCCCAGGCTGAACTAGGCCACTACACGCCAGTGTCCAGTCACCATCCAGGCCCTAGAACTAACCAGCTAATCAACCCCATCCTCTTCAAAAACAATCACTTTCCCCATTATAAAAAAACTACTGGCCTTTCGTACACCTATAATTTTAAAAGTAACACATTTTTTTCTAAATTTAGAGTCTCTTGGGACATCTTTGAAATGGGGGAGGGGGTGCACGTCCTTAAAGCTGACAAGTTGTCACAGGATGAGCCAGCCTGACAAATGACAGATCAGAGAGAAGCCAGCTTGGGTCTCCTTTTTTTGTATTGTACTTCAGGTGAAGGCTTACAGAACAAATACTTTCTCATGAAACAGTAGTACACATATTGTTTTATGACATTAGTTAACAACCCCACAACATGTCAACCCTCTAACTTCTCAACCTTTTTTTTTGGTGAAGATACACATAGCCAAAGATACACCGTTTCGAAAATTTCTACATGCACAGTTCAGTGACATTGACTACACTCTTCCAACTGTGCTGTTATTCTCACTTAAGGTGAAGGCTTAAAGAACAAAATACTTTTTCATTTAACAGCTACTACACGTTGCCCTATGACAATGGTTAACAATCTCACAACACATCAACAATATCCTTACTCAACCTTGGGTTCCCTGTCACCAGCCTCCTTGTCCCCTTCTGCCTTCTGGCCCTTGTCACTGGACTACTGTACCTCGTTAGTCTCATCTGGTTTTACGGGGCTGTCCACTCCCAGGCTGAACGGTGAACCTCAGAGACAACTTCACCACTGAGCTA